GTATAATCCATTCGTATTTTCTCTGTGTCAGTAGTATAGGGATGCAACAGCAACAAGATGTGGTAACAATAATAAAGTCATATCGAGTCTTTGTAACACTACTCCCTCCTTGTGGAACACTCTGGCAGACACTGTCTGACCCCTTTTCGGGGCAGACTAAGGCTGTCCAGACTGACAAATTATGGCGTTGCCATTCTGCTTTCCGGGTCGGTAGATGATGGTAAAATTAAATGGTTGCAAAGATAAGCTCCAGCGTAACAATCGTCCATTATCCCCAGCAACCCGGTTTAGCCACACCAACGGGTTATGGTCTGTAACCAGAGTGAACTCTTGTCCATACAAGTAGGGGGTTAACTTCTTTAATGCCCACACCAGGGCCAAGCACTCCTTTTCCACTGCGGCGTAGCTGACTTCGCGTGGTAGGAGTTTTCGGTAGGAGAACGCCGCGCCGCTTCCGGTTTTGCCTCGTGCGTTCCACGGCCGAGGTACACCAGGAAGACATCTACAATTATGTTAATTATGTAAGTTATGTATTTAAAGGAAGTTTTTGATGTATGCTATTTACACTTCTGATGAAGCCAACTGGCGAAACGCGTTAAGTGTTATCTTATATAGCATTTTGTTTTACTTGTGTTATCATTAAATATATTTTTAAAGTGATATCCTATTCTACTATACAATTTATTTTCATCATCAACTTCCTGGCCTACATATCCTACAGTGGGGATTATACCACTGCAAGCCCTATATACTAGAGCAAGTTGCCTGCTCTAGCAAATGTGAGTATAATTACCTTCATTTATTCATTTATATTTGGATTTGGAACTACTATACCATTGGAGTTTCTTCTTTTCCATTTCATTTGTACCATCATACCATCGGAGTGCCAAAGACTTTGTACCTCTAATCCTGAGACGGGGATTGTACCGTCTGTGCGAATTACGGTAGAGCTTCCAAAATAGCTCTACCAAATGTGAGTTCAAAATACCTCAGTTTTCTATATCACCATTTTTTAATATTGTTAAACATACTACACTATTGTATATTTTCTCTTTGTGTTCTCTTTTTGAGGATAAATTATCCACAATAACTAAGAAACATCAAGTGTATGTATAGGTAGTTTCCCCTGGCTATGCGGTCCAACAGCTCATCCACTCTGGGAATGGGATAAGCATCGGTGACGGTTTTGTCATTGAGTTTCCGATAGTCCACACAGAATCTGGTAGTGCCATCTTTCTTGGGTACCAGAACCACCGGGGATGCCCAGGGACTATCGGAAGCTTCAATGACCCCTAGCCGGAGCATCTCATCTATTTCTTTCTTCATGCCTGCCCTAACTGCCTCCGGGATTCGGTAGGTGTTTGCCCAGGGGTATCTACTTGATGGGTGGCCAGATCGGTGCACCCCGGTTCCTGAGAAAACATTGCCTGTTTCCCTCGGAGCAGGTTGTGGAGCTGCTCCCTCTCTACTGGGTTAAGTCGGTCCCCGATCTGTACTTGGTTCACTACTTCAGACGGGGAATTGGGAGTCAATAAGTCGGGTATGGGGAGACTATCTGGGTCCTCAAACGCGGGACTACACATGGCTGACACCTCCTCTGGCCTCTGTAGGTATTCCTTCAGCATATTTACGCGGAATATCTTACGTATGTTCTCATCGTGACAGCTGGCAATCACATAGGTAGTGTCCCCCCTCTTCTCCACTATCTGGTAAGGTCTGCTTGCAGCTTGTCGGCTTTAACGGGTTTGAGTACCATAACCTGCTGTCCTATACAGAAGCTCCTCCGCCGTGCCCCCCGGTCGTACCAGACTTTCTGTCGCCCCTGGGCCGCCTGGAGGTTGGCCCGGACTGACTTGTCCCTCAGCTCCAGCACGTAAGGTACCAGCGTTCTCTGTCTCTCCCTCCCAGTGCTCACGGATAAGGTTCAGGGGACCTCGCACCTTAAGTCCGTATAGCAGCTCAAAGGGAGAGAAGCCGGTGGTTTCCTGGGGCACCTCCCGGTAAGCAGACAGGAGATGCGGCAGGAAACGTTCCCAGTCTCTATACTCCTGAGTGAAGGTTTTTAACATTTGTTTGAGGGTTCCATTGAACCTCTCACATAGCCCATTAGTCTGAGGGTGATACGGGGAGCTGAGGAGGGATTTTATCTTGCAGACCTGCCATAGCTGCTGTGTTAGCTCTGCCGTGAACTGGGTCCCCCTGTCAGATAGGATCTCCCGAGGGAATCCTACCCAAGAGAATACCTGTACTAACGTATTAGCCACAGTGTCGGCTTGTATGTTGGATAGAGCCACAGCTTCCGGGTAGCGGGTAGCATAGTCCACGATGGTAAGAATATATCTCTTACCAGATGGACTGGGGGTGGCCAGGGGCCCTACTAAGGCGATGGCTACCTGGCTAAACGGCTCGTCAATAATGGGCATGTTAACGAGATGCGCCTTGGGGTGGTCTCCTCTCTTGCCTACCCTTTGGCATTCCTCGCATGTATTGCAATAGGTCCTCACATCTGCATGTACCCCTGGCCAGAAAAGGGTATGGGTAATACGATGGAGGGTATGGGTTACTGCTAAGTGTCCGGCTAAGGGGATATCGTGACCCACCCGGAGTATATCTCGTCTATATTTGTGGGGTATAACTAGCTGTCTCCTACGGTGACCCTTCTTCTCGGTGTGTCGGTACAGTCGGCCCTGTTCCCATGTGAAAGTCTCCTGGTCTGATCCCCCAGTCCCTGTATCGGCTCTTTCCCTATACTTTTGGAGCGTCGGGTCAGTTTTGGTCTCAGCCTCAAAGGCTGCAGGGGTGTCCCAGGGTAATGGGGAAGGAGGGTTGGTCACAGTCGGGTTAAGTCTTACCTGAGTCTCCCGCACTGGTGAAGGGTCGCGAGCTCTCCCTGCTTGCGACCGGGTAGTCACTGGATGGGCCTCGGAGTTGTAGGAAGGTGCATATGCTGAAGTCATGGGACCTAGGTTGTTTTCCCAGCAAACCTTCACAAGTCCTTTCCCCGCACCCCAATCCAAGTGTACTTTTGCTGTGGGTAGCTTGTATATGTCCCCCCCAGCCACCCGGACTGCGACAGTGTCGGTGGAGCGCTTGTGCTCGGGGACTAATCAGCTTTGCACCAAAGTGATAGTGGCCCCTGTGTCTCTTAATCCCTGGGTGGGACGACCTTCCAGTAGCACTTCTTGTCTGTGATGTTGCCTATTGTCACTTGCGGCATACACGGGGTTAGCTTCATGCAGGGG